AATTTGCTGATAAAACACTTCATTGTGTACAAAGTACGTGCACTCCAAACAGATCTTTAAAAGGCTTACAACATGTTGGGGAGTGAGAGTTGTACGTTGTGCTAGTGTGGTGTCGTTCTGGAGTCTACTTGCTATAACATCCAAAGTCTTATCAATAGGAACTGAGGTAAACAGGGCTGTAACATCAAAGGATCTGAGTTCCTCGTCCTCTTCTACACGTTGGTCTTTTATGAGTTCCGTAAAATGTTGGGAGTTCACAATATGATGGGGGGACTTGCCAACCAAAGGAGAAAGTATGTCAGCCAAGAATTTTGCACTGGGGTAAGTAATGGAACCAATACTACTAACGATGGGTCTAAGTGGTACACCAGTCTTATGAATCTTTGGAAGTCCGTAGAATTTCGGTGGAGTGTCTGTTGTAGGGTGAACTTTCATGATAGTATTGACCTTTCTAGTTTTATACGGATTTCAATTCTGGTTCTTTTCCCCATAATAATGATTGCTTTACCTTACCATTGCCTATGCTAACTCAGATACTAGAGGCTGCTGGGACATCGGTCCTCCTGACTACGGCAATAGAAGCCCTATGAAGAGGTTCTACTACGTGGGAGAAAGGATCGCCTTCACCTGCAACGAGGGGTACTACATAAAGCCCGGGTATCCTACCGAACTGAGATGCGTCGAAGGAGGCTTCTGGCAGGATAACAAGCCCAGTTGTTCAGGTGATTGACTATTGGGTCTGAGTTATCGTGAATTTTCTACACTTGCTTATTGCCAAACCTACTTATTTTCTTTTAAATATTTTTACCTCCATGAAAAATGGAGGTATTGTTTTTGACGCGTCTGTCTGTGTGTGTGTCTGTCTGTGTGTGTGTCTGTCTGTGTGTGTGTTTGTGTTTCCGCACATTTGTAGTCAGCATAACTTGATAACGACTTTATGAATTGTGATGATTTTTGGTATGCTGGTAAGTCTTAGGAAGACGAATGCCAAGGTCAAATATGGGCCTCCTGGTGGATGACCTTGGTACTGCAGCAGGACTTCCGGTTTTTGTATCCTTTGTCCTGAACATGCTATGGTCTTGAATTTTTGGTGACAGATAAATTTTCCTGTCAGGAATAAGACCTTTGGGCGAAATATTTGAAAGCCAATAAGTCCAAATAGGAACAACTTATTTTCATCATTTTTGGTAGGTAGGTAGCTGAGAGAGAGAGAGATGTACATAATTAGATACAAATTATGCAAATGAGGACTTTATTTGCATAATTAATGAGGAAATTCTATAATTACAGTGTTTTACATTATAGTACTTTCATACATGTAAAATATGTAACCTATGGCGGATGGAACATCAACAGATACTAAGTATGCAACTGATGACCTAATTTGCATAATTAATGCGAAAATTCTATTCTATGATTTCTTAATGGTAAATGATGGGAATGTCATACTTAGGACATCTGTAAGTTAATCAAAAGTTAATATCACGATGCATATATTATGTTAATGCAGAGGTCATTTGCATAATTAAAAAAGAAATTCACATATCAAGCCCATATTTCATGGAGGTATGAGATCTCGGAACTCTCATTCCAATTGTTATACATTGAATAAGAGTGCACTTTGTATATGAGCTTGTTAAGGTTTCTACATTTATTATGGCTTCAACATGAAGTGATGTGGTAAAGACGTATTGTTTTCCTCGTGTTCCTACTTTTTCAATATCTTCATTTTTTTCACCGGGCAAATCGCCTGAAACGTTTTTTATTTATATATTTACAGGCTGTTAGAATGGATTAATTTGGACTTTTTAGCGGTGTCATGGTAATGTACTATAGCAGTATGTGTTACCATATTTAGAGTCTTACCATATTTGGGCATGGGGGCAGGAGCCCCATGTCCAAATATGAGCATAAAGACAGTAGCAGGTGTGGCCATGTTTGTAGACGTGGTTCCTATTTGGCTATTCACTAATTAATTAAAGAAGACCTGCGTGGTGGCACATACTTGTCTTTTTGGCCAGGAAAAAGGAGGGAACTAATTTGTAAATCAATGGAAATATATCACATAACCTATATTTTTATATACCTTGCCATTTTTTAAACATTTTTTTTTAAATTTGGTTTAAAAATTCTTTCAACCAAGTTAGCTACAGATACATGTAGCAGTGTGGTAGGTAAGGTCATTGACCTTTATTGACAGTGTTTCCTATGATTATGGGGGTCATCTGTAAAGATTTGGCATAATGTCTGGTGCATGTCTGGTTTTATGTACCTGCAACATGCAAATACATGGGCCCACTTGTAACTACATAATATGATTCTTCCAAGAATGACCATAACATTGAGTATTGGAAATGGCTGTGTGTGGGGAGGGGGACAGATCCATTTTTGGTACGCGGCATGTGGTGAAGCCATTTGCTGCATTTGATCCCGAGCAAATGTGTGCCTTTTTAGGATTCTTTGTTTGTTAAGGTCCTAAATAAACAAATAAACAACAGTCATAATTCACATAAGTATTTTTTATTTAAAACACATCGAACGCATGAACAACATTCAAACTTATAAAGCTTTATTAGATTTCTTTTAATAAAAAATGTAAAGCCAAAACATACCATAATGGTCAATCTCAAAAGTTAAAAAAATCTGTTGATATATGTGTCTTCCTAACGATAGGTATGTATTGTCTCTTCCTCAGTGAATTTCGAGGATAGTCTGAAAGCCGACCTGCTCGATGTGTACAATCTCAACCTGGCACCTGAGCCTGTTAGGCGTACCCAGCCTGAGAACCCTACCGGCACTGACAACCCTACCGACACGGACAACCCTATTGTCGCTAGGGTTGTCCGCGACACTGACAACCCTACCAACACTGACAACCCTACCGACACGGACAACCCTATTGGCGCTAGGGTTGTACCGCGACACTGACAACCCTACCAACACTGACAACCCTACCGACACTGACAACCCTACGACACTGACAACCCTA